GGTCCCCACGCTGTCATGGGTCCCCAGTGAGGCCTCCTCCTCTCCCCACCCCTTGCCCTGCTCGTAACGATCTCTTCAACTCACCAGCAACATCTCACCGAGGTCCTGGCTCCTAACAAGCCAACCCATTCTGTGTCTCTCTCCACAGGCCTTGCAGGACCATCAGGGAGAATGTGTGCATAACGCAAAATGTCCTTCTGAAATACACCAGCCTAGCTCAGCTGCAGGCATGTAGGGGCTGCTCACCAGTGAGGTCTTTATACTGCCATGAGGGCAGTGGTGCCTCATAGCCCTGTCAGCCTTTCCTGGCTCTGAAGGTGCTGTTTGCAAAGGAAGCAGTGTCCAATGGACTCAGCATGGGGCTGGGAGCCAAGAGCTCCTGGGTTCCCAGTCTCCCTTGTTGTGTGACCCAGGCACATACCTGCCTCCCCCTCTGTAGAACAGGGATAGCTATACTCCCCTGCCTGCCTACCAGTTGTGCCAGGGAGATGAATTCATTTCTGGGGCCAGTGACTGCAAAGCACTCTGATGTGTAAGCACTGAGGGCAGGTAAAGCTGACTCCTGGTACAAAGCGGGAGGTTTGCTACCCTTGAAAATGGGGAAGGATGTGGGTAGGTTATTGTCAACTGGAGACTAAAGTAGCGGCCAGCGAGAAGAATGCGTAGAGGTTAGAAATGCAGAAATCTAGAACTCGTGGTTCAGAGACGATACCTTTTGTTAGACCAACAAAGAAATCACAAAAAAAATCTTCTTCTTTTTCTATTTTTGTTTGCGATTTCTTAGTTGGTCGAATAAAAGGTTTCATCTCTGAACCAAGAGTTCTAGAGTTTTGCATTTTTTTTTTGTCTCAGACCAACCAGCTACCAAATACATCTCTGTAAAGGTTAGGGAGATGGCTGGCGGGTGAACAGCATACGAATGGGTAGGGACAGCTCATTCTGTGCGATACCCAGCAGTTGATACCATGCCCCTGTCTCTGACGCCCTCCCACCCACCAGCAGCAAAGCCCAACACAGATGGCTAGTCTGACCCCCACCCTCCTCCCCGCTCTTTCTCTGCACAGGCCTGTCAGGGCAAAATGCTCCCCCTAGGGTGCACTACCCCCTCCCCCAGAAGGCCAGGAGTCGCATTCACTCCGAAGATGTCCACGAAGCACTGAGCAGCCCGGACAGGGTGCCTCAGGGTGAGTGAGTTTGGCCGTGCCCAGCACCTCACACCGAGAGGTGGAGATCTGGCTAGAGAAATGGCTGGAGGCTTTCAGCCTTGGCTAAGTCAGGCTGTGGCTGCTCTGAGCCCAGAGGCTGCCGTGCATTGGAGTCAGCATCCGCTCGTACAGGTGTTCAGACCTAGCTAGCCCAGGTCTTGGCCCCTCTGCTTAGGTTCCCCCCAGCGATTGTGGAGAGGACATTTTGCCGCATTCTCCCTGGACTCATCAGGACCATCCCGCTCTCCCGCATGTCCGTTTCTTTCCCCCTCCATCCCCTTGCCTGTGAATCCAAGGTTGTGACTTTCCCTCCCTGCCTCAGATTCCAGGGTGACCCCGGGCATCCCCGACACACCCACCCGCCTGGTCTTCTCGGCGCTGGGACCCACCTCTCTGAAAGTCAGCTGGCAGGAGCCGCAGTGCGAGAAGGAGGTGCAGGGATACAGCGTGCAGTACCAACTCCTCAACGGAGGTCAGTGAGCCCTATTCAGCTGTAGTAATGGGAGCAGGAGCTCAGTGCAAGCAGAACGCTCAAGCAAAGGGCTTGAGAGATCCTACTGCCTCTGAAGCCACCGGGACTCGTGCCACTGGTTTTAGTGGGACCAGAATCCCTAGAGTCTAATCCCGGCTCTGCCACAGATATGCTGTGTGGCCCCCGCAAATCTCTTAACTGCAGCATGCCTGAGTTCCCCCCCGTGAGAAGGAGACGATCACTGACACCTGCAACATGCCCTGGGCTGTGTAGGTAGAAGGTGAAGATAAGTCAGGCTCTTTTCCCACGCTGCTAGTTATGGTCAGAGTTTAGTCATGAACTTCTAGCTCCAACCACAGGATCTTGGGGGGTTCCCTCAGGAGATGAGGAAGGGCCTGTTTAGCAGCAACCACAGACTTGGAACGGCAGGGATGGGGTAGGTACAGCAACTGGACCGACACCCTCCACAGCAGACTTCCAGCTGCTCTGTCTTTGCCCTGCAACCCACAGATCAGTGCTACAGCTGGATTATAAATGGGGCAGGATAATCTGACCATCCATAGTGAGGACAGGAGGGGCCATGTGCACAGGTCAGGCAGTCAGGATCAAGGAAGACTTCTCCCAGAGAGGCACACACAGAGCAGCGTTATACCAGGCTATGTGCCTCGTAAAGTCAGCTTGAGGTCCCGACCACTGCTGGAGGCATGATGCCAAGCCTTGTGATGGGGGGTTAACGAAGCCTCCTTGCTCGACCCAGCTCAACTGGTGCACACACCTTCACGTGATGCGGGTAGCGTGCTGTTCCCCAGTGAAAGCTGCGGTCCTGCCTTTGTGACCTATTGCTTGTTTCCCTCAGGAGAAGTATACAGACTCACCATCCCCCACCCCAGCCAAAATTCAGTGGTGGTGGAGGACCTGCTGCCCAACCAATCCTACATCTTCAAGGTGAAGGCCCAGAGTGAGGAGGGCTGGGGCCCAGACAGAGAAGGCGTCATCACCATTGAGTCCCAGGTGGATCCGCAGAGCCCTCTGAGCCCGGTGCCAGGTGAGGGGGAACAGCACTGGTTTTGCCCAGTTTGGCCTATCTGTTGCCTTGGAGTGAACTCTCAGGACCTGGCCTGAGTGCTGTGTTCTCCATGGCCACACCCTGCTCCAAAACACAAGCCCCCATGGAGAAGTCTGGGCTCTGTGAACTCCTGGTTGCTGCTCCCTCCTCCCTGAGTGCAGCTTCCCAGTGCCCCAGCTTCCGAACTATCCTGGCGGACAGTGGAGACTTCCTGACTCATGGCTTGAATGACCCGGTCCATGTCTCTGCTGTCCAATACTAATACCTTGCTCTTGCATTGGCAGGTTCGCCATTCACACTGAGCACACCCAGTGCTCCAGGCCCCCTGGTGTTCACTGCCCTGAGCCCAGACTCCCTCCAGCTCAGCTGGGAGCGACCGCGCAAACCCAACGGGGCAATTCTGGGCTACATGGTCACCTGTGAGATGCTGCATGGAGGAGGTATGTTGCTGCTCTGGGGTGATCCCAGGTCTCTGTGCAGGGAGAAACAAACCATAAAAGAAATGACAAATTGCTGTCTTTGTGCTGGGACTGGAGAGAAGCAGACCAGAGCTGCAAACTCTTTTTTTCACACTCCATGTAATTTAAGAATGGAGCTCATTGCCACAAACTGTTGTGGAAGCTGACAGTTTTGCCAGATTCAGAAAGGGATTGGACACCTTCTTGGAGGAAAGGGGCATCAGCAGCTATTGAGCATGGGAGCTAGGGGGACAGCCTGTGAATCAGAGCTTCCTAGACCTTAAATGCTGGAGGCTGCAAGGAGGAGAGGAAGAGTGGAAAAAACCCTGGTTATTCTCTGTTCACTCTCCCTTTCCGCATCCACTCTCTGCCACTGCATGACACAGGACACCGGGCAAGATGGGCCTATGGGCTGACCCAGTAAATGGCAGTTTTATTGTTCTAAACCTGCTCCAGCAGCGGAGCCTCCTGCTCTGGGTTAGGCCCATCAGTAGCCCTGTTGGGTGGGATGTGAATGAGACCCTGAGGGGTCATTGAAATGTGGTTCTTCTAACAGAGCAGCTGGGTTGGTAATGAAGGGCAGGGCGTAGGTTGAGAATGGAATAAAGCAGGCAGAGAAGAAGATGGTGGAAGCCTGCTGGGTATTGGGGTAGATGGGTAGAAGCAAAGCAAGCAAAAGTGGATGGGAATGGGTGTAGAGGAACTACCACATGTGGTCTGTCTCAGGCTCCTCACCTGTTGTGTGTCTGTCTGGATTAGGAGAACCCAGGAACATTTATGTGGAGGGGGACAGCCCAGAAACTACCCTGACAGTGCCCTACCTGACTGAGAATGTCCCATACAAGTTCAAAGTGCAAGCTAAGACCACGCAAGGCTTTGGACCAGAGAGAGAGGGTATCATCACCATTGAGTCTCAAGATGGAGGTACTGCTTTCCTTTTTTTTTTTTTTTT